CACTTTTGCATATTTGAGCTAATTATAAATTCCCCTAATTAGATCCTTTTTTAACAAAGGACACTTTGGACTTTATCACACGGGGGAAATCCTGTGCAGAAACGGAATTTAAAAGCTGGGAAAAACCTGCAAAAGCAGGTTGATTTTTACACACATTACTGTTAAACTGTTGTTAATCCGAACGGAAAGTAGTCAAAAGCAGTTCCTTTTAACTTTTGGGATTTTCCAAAAGAAAAAAGAAACATCTTTTGACTACTTTCCATTTGGGTTAACAACCATTTAACATCGACGTCATGTGAAAATCTACCTGCTTTTGCAGGTTTTCCCCGATTTAAAACCCATTTCTGCATGGGATTTCCCCTGTGTGATAAAGTCTTTTGATCAACTACCTTAAGTCTGTAAAGACAGGTGCATCTATGCATCAGTTCCCTACCTATCAGTTCCTGCAATCCAGGCCTCAAGAATCACAAGCAGAGAATGGGTGCCTTTCAAAGATGTATCTACAGATTCACTGATTATGTGTCTCAAGCAAATAAACCGTCACATGCTAAAGGGTAAGACAAAGTAGTGCTCAGGGCAGGGAGATGTATGTCTGAGGTTTGGTGCCCAGTAACATTTTCCCTGTCATGAGGGAAAACATCATAACTTCTAGTATTAATTGTCATCAGTTATTAGACTTGCCATTAGCCTCAGATACATGTTTTGAGTGGTGTGGTGATTTGAGCATTGGACTATGACAGAGAGACCAGAGTTCCAATCCCTGCTCAGCCAGGGAAACCCAAAGGTTGACCTTGGGTAAGTCACACACTTTCAGCCTTAGAAGGTATGGGCAAAATCCCTCTGAATAAATCTTGCCAAGAAAGCCCCATGATAGTCTCCTTAGGGTCACCATAAACTGGAAACGAAGTGAAGGCACACAACAACACATTTAAGAACATCTCTTCCGGCAGGCCTTCCCAGACTAGTTACACTAAATCAGCTATCCCACCTCGGAGACGATCCTCACGTGGCCCCATCAATTTGATGGGAGGAATGTCGACCAGGCTTTCTGGACTTTTGGGATAGGAGGGTTAATTCTTGAACTTTATAATTTTAAATTTTAATTTTTAATCTTTAAATTGACTTGATGTTTTATATTGTCTGATTTAATAGTGTTTTAAGGGGGGAGGGGGGTTTGTTGCATTATATGTTTGTGGATGGTTTGTTTTAAACTGTAAGCCGCCCAGATTGGTTTACCATTGGGCGGGGTATAAATAAATTTTATTATTATTATTATTAACTAGACAAATTAATGGAGGAGACATCTGCCTGTCAGCACTATCCAGGATTTAAAAGAAAAGATGTTACCAGAGTCCAGATTCTGGATGGAAACCACAAGAGAAGGCCTTTGTCTTCCTGCCCTGCTTGAATATTACCAAGCTAGATGGATTTTCATCTGCTTCAAAATTGGGCTTAATTTTCTTTAGCACAACCAGAGAGAGCAACTTTACTCCCATTATACAAATGTGGTAAATTTATCCTCAGCAAAGTCTCTCAAAACCATAGCGCAAGTCCATGGCCAGCTGGGATTTGAACCACTACTTCACATCCCCCTTTCTTTCTGCTAAGAAAATCCCAACCAGACTCCACATCCCGGGAGGCCAAGACTTCACTTGGTCAAGACTTGCCAATGGAAGGCTTGAGCCCAGCACCGCCATCCTCTCTTGCTTATCAGCAAAATGAGTGGAAAGGCATATTGAGAAAACTTTGTGGCAGGGAAGGATCTCCTGTGAGCCATATTCATACTCTGTGTCTTTCCTTTTGAGCACTGTTGGCAAGATTCCACTTCTCTAATCCACAACAAGTGAAGCCTGTCCAGACAAGCAGACCAGCCCCAAAGAAACTGATCGCTCTTGGTGGTTTGAGAGAGAAATCTAACTCACACCCTGAATTTCGAGTTGGCTGCTGAAGCAACGTTTTGGAAACAGAAACCATTGTGACCCACATTCCAGGCCATCACAGAGTCAGATGGCCTCCTCGGAACTTCACCCCCTGCTCCACATCCCTGGATTTACCTGTGGGCTTACATCTTGTTCGCTTTCCCTTCTGTCCCTGGGAGGCCTTCTTTGCTCTTCTCGCAGTCCTGCACCTTCAAACCCGACCCGGCCCTTCCTTGTTGATTGTGTCAGGAGCTGCCATGGACCTGCCCAGGCTTGTGTGTCTGGTCTGAACCTGCCTCTTGTCCTCCTCAGTTGTTTTCAGCTGTGTCAGGAAAGGCAGGAGGGTTGAAAATATCACCAAACAGCCACTTTCTTGGGCTTCCTCATGCGAAGGAGGTTTGCGAGCGAAGACAACGGCAGCAGGAAAAAAACCCAGGGCAGGAAGCTTTCCCTAAATATCTTCATCATCGCCAAGAGCTCCGGTTCGACTGTGCAAGTCGCAACCCTGACATGCAGGATCAACCTGGAGAAACAAAAAGAGCTCCTCCTGATGTGGACAGTTGCATCAGAGCCAAGAGGAGTGTCCAGAGAAACTGCTGGGAATCCAACCAGAGAAACAAGAGTCACAAAGAGACCACAGGAGAGTGAAGGAACCCCACACAGCTCACCACACCCTGTCCGCTTCTTCCATGCCAGGCCACATCCAGGAAAATGCAGGTGTTTACTTCCACGTCAGTCAAGAGGAACCCTTTGCAGCCACCCTTGAACTTGCTCAGTGGATCTCCCCTCTGTGTTTGCTCCTTTGCCTCTTTTCTCGCCCAAGTCTCCTGGACTCATGCAGAGTTTGGACTCCAAAGCCAGGCAGTCAGGATGATGTGGGTGTTCCCATCAGCCTGAATTAGATGGAGGAAGGAAGCTTCCTCCCTCAAAGGAAGTCTCCCCAAGGCCAGGGAAGGGGAGGGCGAAGGGTACCCATTCAATGGGTAATGATGACTCACATACCAAGTCTCTCTGTTTTCATGTACATGATTTCCACCAGTCTCAGTGTTCCACCTTCCCTCTCTCTCTCTCTCTCTCTGAGTCATATATTCAGTTAATTGAATTGATTGCATTTGGGCTCTTCAGGTTTTCCAGTCCCTCAAGGATGGATGTATTTCTTTAGCCCAAACTAAAGGAAGACAACTGGCTGGCAGACATGTCTGTTAGCATAGGCCCACCTGTGCCTTTTAAAAACAAGAGCATCTTCAGGCCTGATCTTTATATAAAAAGGACAAAATGCAGTTCCATTCAGGGAGATAATTCCACAGGGTGGCTATTTTCCAACAGCTATTTCGTAAACTGGCTTAATGGAAGGGCTTAAATTGTGGATTAGTATAATTGCTGTTGTTGTTGTGTGCCTTCAAGTCCTTGCTGACTCATGGTGACCCTATCATGAGGTTTTCTCGTCAAGATTTGTTCGCCTTTGCCTTCCTCTGAGGCTGAGAGAGTGTGATTTGCCCAAAGTCATACAGTGGGTTTCATGACCAAGCAGGGATTTGAACCCTGGTCTCCAGTGTTGTAGACTAGTGTTCAAACCACTATGCTTCACTGGATTAGTATAAGCATTATCTTAAATTAAAACTTTCCAGCTTCCCATCAGAGCTATTTCACTTTAAGCGTAAGTGGAAAAGTTTTTTTTATTTAGTCTAGTTTTGAATTGGCCTCTCTGTTCAGTGAATGCTTGTGGCGATGTATAAAAAAAAAAAATGTAAACTACAAAAACAAAATTAAACAAAGTAATCTGATGAAGGAATTGCAGTACAACAAAAGCAAGGATTCCTAGTAAAACCAGAAAGTGGTATTAACCATTAATAGCTTGGTTGAACAATATTATCTTTGCCAAAGGACAATAGGAGGTAAGGGAGGCTGTGTGTGTGTGTGTGTGTGGGCAAACTTTCAAAAGAGCTGGAGGAAAAGGAAATGTAAGGGACTAGGGGCATGAGACAGGAAAGAGCTGTGGCTTCCTCTTCAAATATCCAGAATACCTTCACAATGCCTGAAAACATCACAGGCATTTTATCCATAAGGTTAGCAGTACTGACCTACTTTGCAAGACTGTTGTGGTTGCACTACATATATGAAACATGTGTTACCAATAGTGCATTTTTCTGAATTTTGGTGTGTATGAATTCCACATGGCCCCAGATGGACTCTGCAATAGACTCCATATGCCTCCATGGCATGGCAAAGAAGTCATGCCCAGGTCACCTGGAAGGCTGGAAAATCCCCAAACCCCAGAGCCAGGCAGATAGTGTGGGAATTGCAAATGGACTATCATCACCTCCATAATCAGAAGGATGGGCGATAATGGCCGAGATGTCTCACCTGTTGAGGTGGCCAAACGCCTTAATCTGCTCCCAGTTCCCCTTGAATATTGCCAGGCCAGATTACCTCGCCCAAACAATCAAAAACCTTTGTCCAACACGTTAGCCAAATAATCTGAGCTATAGCCAAACAATCAAACTCCTTTGTCCAACCAAGCTTTTAGCCCAGGGGTAGGCAACCTTTCCCCTTTAAGGGCCGATGGACTTCAGCTCCCAGAAGCCTCAGCCATGTTGGCCAATAGTCCCATGTTGGCCAATAGCTCCTGGGATTCTGGGAGCTGAAGTCCCTTGGCCCTTAAAGGGGAAAGGTTGCCTACCCCTGTTTTAGCCAAACAATCAAGCACCTCGCCAGGGGCTAGATTTTGCCTTTAAAAACTCCTGGGTTTTTCCCTTCAGTGTCACTAGTCTGAGTACAGGGGAACCTTATGTCACTCTGTTCTCTGATCTGGTTACTGGCACCTCCATTTAACCCATGCTCTTGGGACAGTCGTGTCTCACACCCCTTCACCCAACTGGACTCTAAAAGAGGCTCTGTCGATAGTAAGTATCGCTGTAGCGCTGCCTCAGTACCTAACCCCTGATTTCCTAAAGCCCTGCGTGTGTGTGTGTGTGTGTACATTGCTGCATGATTTGTCCAATAAATAACCACTTAATGTGAGGATACTGCCTCTGCATCAATTCTTAAGATCCCCCATCTCTCGGTATACATGTGCGAGAAGGTCTCACAGGGTCCTTGTAGCTGAACCTCTCTCAATTTGAGCTAAATATATTTCCCCTTAATAGATTTTTGGCTACATATGTGAAGTTGAAGGCTTTCACAACTGACTTTCATAGGTTTTTGTGGATTTTTTGGGCTGTGAGGCCATGTTCTAGAAGAATGTATTCCTGACCTTTCGCTTGCATCTGTGACTGGCATCTAAGAATACATTCTTCTAGAACACGGCCTCACAGCCCAAAAAACCCACAAAAACCTATATATGAAACACTTGGAACAGTTAAACTACTGTAAAGAAAAGCAGCAGCAACCTGTCTCAGTAACATGGGAGTGGAGGGAGGAATCATAACTGAGAATATGAAGATAATGGCCATTTAAGTTCCTGCTTCTAATGCAGATAAATCTCCAAGCCAGTATAACCAACCTGGAAGACAGGCTTGTGCTGATGAAGAGCAATACAAACTTTGAATCCTTGTGAAAGGTATGATGCACCATTGCTAGCAAAGGCATCTGCGGTCTGTGCTCCACCCTCCTCTTCAGAAGTCCTCTCAAAAGACAGTTTCCTGTGTTAGGAGAAAGGGTCAAGACATTTGAATTTGGGAAGATTTAGTTTTTGTTTTTAAAGGTTATGAAGTTGTTGTAGAGTCACTGCACGTCTTTAACACAACCTCGGTCTCTCCAGCTGAAAGTATGACTTCAGGTAATGCATCCAGTCTGTTGTTGTTGTTGTTATTACGCTGATGACACCCAGATATACTTCTCCATGACCAGATCATCGA